TTTTGTTGAGAGGGTCTTGCTATGTAGCCCAGACTTGCCTCGAATTAGCCTCGAGATTACAGATGTGCACCATGCCTGGCTCTGATGCTCATTTCTTTGTAATGCAGCCCCAGCCCTTGATTTTGCACTTAAGTGGGAGGGAGAATATCGTGTGATACATGAAAACACAAAGCTCAGGTTTCAGTTTTCCTCAGTAAAAGTTCATGGGCCCACAGCTGGTTTGTTGAGGAGCAGGCCAGCGGCAGCTCCTGCTGTGACAGCGTACGTGAGAGGTGGGAACAGATTGGCCTTTGGCAGAAAGGTTTGTGGACCACTGGTGTGGAAGACAGAAGTGGGCACCTTGGCATAGTGCCACACACCTGTTGTCCCAGCTGCTCTACTCAGGAGGCTGAGGGAGAAGGATCACAAGTTCAAGCCCAACCTGGGCAACTTAGTGATTTAGTGAGACCTCCTTGTCCCCTAAATTAAAAAACGCTAGGGATGTAGCTGAGTGTGAAGGCCCAGTAGAGAAAAAAAAAAAAACCTGCTGGTGCCTGGTGTGGGTGTGGGTGTGGGTGTGGTGTGGAACCACACAGGTGGACAGTTCCATCTCCCAAAAAGTTCTGCTATACAGCAAGGCTCTGTAAGCACAGGCTCTGAGATGGGTGACCCGGAGGTACCTGAGCCCCAGTTTGAGAACCATGGCAGGGACCCAGCCGAGGGTGTTCGGGGGTGTGGACAAGGTAAGCAGCACTGTGGCCCATGTCAGGCAGAGGGTGCATCACCCTAAGGTGCGCTCTGAGTTTTCCTGCTGCCTTTCCAAAGAAGGTGTGGTGACAGGCGATTTTTAACAGGCTGCACTAGATGCAGGGCTGCTCAATGGGGACCATGATGTGTCTCCTTGGGACCCCAAACTCTGCACTTTTTCAGCCCTGTGACTTTGGCCCTATGCTTCCTCGGGAGTAGGGGTTTCTGCTAGTGTGGGGGTCACCAGGAAGTGGGGCTCTACACCTCCTTCTGTGGCCAGCCGCAAGACCCCAAGTGTTGGGCCCTGGTGTGGGAGGCTCATGGGTACCTGGAGTCTGTAGTTTGGGCCGTGACGCTGCTGTGTTCTGTCCCTAGAGCCTCCAGTCCCCCACAGGAACACCGAGGACCCTGAGGCCCAGTGGGAGCGGTTCTTCCTGCAGGGCCAGGCCTATGTGGCCACCAATGAGCGGTTGCGGCAGGCGAGGGACCAGCTGAGGCAGAGGTGCGAGGACCTGTGTCGAGCCAGTGAGGAGCTGGAGCGGGACGTTGGCCAGGTGACACAGGCTGCGCTGCCAGTGACCTCAACCACCTCAGACTGACTGGGACTGTGGGTGTGGGCTCTGAGTGGTTCTGTCCCCTCCTCTGCCCACAAGAGCTCTGATCTTAGCCAGGCTCTGATGCAGCTCTGCCTCCTCCTCTCCCAGCCCTGGCTCAGGGTGAAAAACACCTGGCCTCAGGTGTGCACACCCATCTGTCCACCTGAGTCCTGGGTCTGGCTGGACTGTTGACTCTATGACTCAGGACAGCCTGAATCTCTGGCCCTTCTACCTGTTTGGACCCTGCCATGGGCCAGGCCAGTCGTCACCACAGCACTGGGCTGCTGCGGTCACCATCCCCACTGGCTTCAAGAGAGACACCCCCCCCCCAGCCATCTGCACAGAGCTTGCTGTCACCTTGGTTAAGGGACAAGCTGGGGTCTTCAGGCCATGCTGCTGCCCTCACAGTTCTGGCCCCACCTTTTCCATGGGCAGTTTGGGGCTGGCCGGAGCATCTTGAAAAGGGCTTTTGCTTAAACAAATCATATCGAGTCCCCGGGTGTCAGGAGGACGGATGTCAGGCCCACAGGGTGGTATGAGCCTGGCCCGGTTCTGCCAGGAGCAGGGACGGGGAGAACCCCAAGCCCTGCTTGGCTGCTGTCCTTTCCTGTCCAGACTCAGCTCCTGGGAGACCAGGCTTTGTTTCTGGAATATCAAAGATATTTCTCAGCAGGTGTAATGGCACACACCTGTCTTAAGACCCTGTCTCAAGGAATCAAATTTTTAAAATAGAAGTTTCTCTTTCCCTGAAATGGAGGTACTGTTTAAGTCTTCAAGAATCCCTTTAAAGTAGAAACTGGATCCTGGGGACCCAGCCTAAACCCTCAAGAGCTTGCCCTGGTCACACACCCCAGAGCTTTGCTGCAGCCAGGTGGGTGTGGGGATCTGGGGAGCCAGTGCCTGCCAGGCCCTTAGCACCTCATACTGTGTCTACCCCTTGGGTCAGGCTGGGCTCACTGGAAGTGACCTTGACATGGCCAGCCCAGCCCCACTGTGCTGGTTTTGCTCTCAGTAAATGGCAGGCTTGCACAAATCCTAGAAGCCCCTAGTACCCGCTTCCTGACCAGGGGTGGCAATGGCTGGCCAGCCCTCCATTCCTGTTTCACACAGCCTCAGGCAAGGTTGGGACACATGCCCAGGTGGGCCACTGAGCTGTCTGCTCTCAGAACTCCCCACGGGACCATTTTGGTCCAGGGATCTGGCCTGAAGCATGCAGTTGGCCCAGAGTCACGGTGGGTACCCTGGCTTCCCCCATCCTCAGCCCATCTTGAAATCAGGAGCTGGAGATGATTTGACAGCTTGTTTTATTAAAGGTGCACAAGAAGCCAGATGCCTGCGGGGCATTGTGCTTCGGCTGGACAGATGCATTACACGAGTGGGGTGGGCGCGTGGGGCCGTAACTATTTACATGTCCAGTTAACACTGTGAGGAGACCCCAGAAAGAGACGAGGGGTTGGCGGCCGGAAGAGCTGGACGGGTCAGGCAGGAGTCAGGCATAGGAGCCGCAGGCCAGTGTGACAACCAGGGGGAGATGAGGTAATGGATGGGCACTTTGCCCCAAGTCAGCACCCAGGCAGTGCTAGCATCCATCGGCCTGAGGTCCAGGCCTCTCTCTTGGGTTGACCCCTCCATCCCTTCTGGCCCAAAGCCTCAGGTCTTTTGTCCCCTTGGCTGGCTCTGCAGATGGACAGAGACCCAGCAGTCTGGGGGTGAGGTCACCATGTGTGTCCTAAGGCTGGTGCCCTCCGGCTCGGGCCTCAGGTTGCTGTCCACACCGCCTGCCGCCTTCCTGGAACCCACTGTCCCACGCTGGTTCTAGCCCAGAGTCCAGCTTGAGCAGGACGGGGAGTGTGGCTCACCCCCTGCCACAGAGGGTGGAGAAGGCAGATGTGGCTGCTAAAGGTGGCCACCTGGAGCAACAGCCCCTTGCATCACAACTGCAGAGGGTGGGTCAGCCAGCTGGATCTGAGCAGCACCAGGCGCCTCCCCCTTCATAACAGCTGCTCTGCTCACCCGAGGTAGCTCTGGGAGTTCTCCCCATGGCCCACATGGGGAAACAGGCACAGGGCGGCGACAGCACTGCCCAGGGTCTCACAGTGCATGGTAGAAGGGGCCATGCTGGCCCAGGCCCTACAGCCAGCAGGGTGGGGGTCCACTGCCCTTTTGGGATGCAGCTGACCCTAGTGTGAACAAGCAAGCATCCAGCTGCCACTAGTCTGCAGGCCACAGTTGGGGTTGGGGCTTCTGAGATCCAGCTGCTGTGTCCTGAAGAGGTCACCTCTTAGCCAGGTCCTCTTTCCCTGCCTGTCATTCTGGGCCAGCTCTGCCCTCGAAGTTCCCCAGCAGCCCCACGTGGAAGGAGGGAGGTCTTGAGTGGAGGGGCCACCAGCAGTCCCTTGGGGAGGTGGCCATCCTGGGTATATGTCCTGCAGGATGTTTCAGAAAAGCGAGAGCGGAATTTGAAGGAGGAAGCAGCGCCTATCTCTGGGGTGGGTCTCCCGTCACCATGAGTGCTGGGGCCCCTTAACCTCAGCCTGCTGGGGACTGGATGGAGCTGGAATCCCTAGGAGGGACTTGGAGTTGCTTTGTGGCAGCAGATCCTCTGCAAAGAGCAGCTCTGCCAGAGCAGGTCCTGCAGGAGAGAGGTCCTTAGCTCTCTCTGCAGGAAGATCCCGGAGCTGCAGGACAATAAGCCCTGTCCCTGTGCAGAGCTCCTGCGCTGCACCCTGAGACCAGCTCCTCCAGGCCAGTGCTGAGGACCCCCCCTCTTTCCCTCCAACACTATCCTGGATATCGGGAGGCCCAGGCCTTACCCCCCCCACTAGTCCTGCCTTGACCTCAGGCTCAGCCTAGGGTTATGGTTAAGGGTATTGGAAGAAACAAGACCAGAAGTGGCAGCAGTGGGGACAATCTCCTAGAAACCAGCTGATTCCCCAGAGCACAGGCCCTGGCATCTCAGCCCCACTGAGGCTCCCTTCAGGGGTTCTTCCCGCTTCCCTCTGCTACACCCATGACAGTGGGTCAGGCTATGTCCCCTGGCCCTGAGCCCCTACCTCCCTCCCTGGGACCCTGACACCAGTCATCAGCAGGGACAAGGTGTTGCTGGCCTCTAGTGTCCACATCAGGCTGCTCTTCCTGTCCCTAGTCTTCCCTCATGGGGTGCAGAGCACCAAATGATCTGAGGGATCTCAGCCCTCCTAGAGAGGGCAATGTTGGCTGGGGGCCTCCCTGAAGAGCTTGTCTTTGTGTGGGGCTGAGCCCCACCCCTCATCCCACGCTTCTCCAGCTGGGGCTGAGAAGGAAAACAAACCGGGCAAGACCTTCATTAACAAATTACCGGGAGCCGTAATTAGAGGCTTCCTCCTGCAGAGTGGATGCCACGCAGGCGGGCCCAGCTTGCAGGCACACTGCTCCACCCTCCCCAGCTGTCCTCCACTCCCGTGGGAGCTGTTATCTCCTGAAAGCGTCCCTCCCTCCTGGGTGCGCCCAGGTCTGCTGGCGTTAGTCACCCGCTGAGCTGGGTGGGGGTCTCTGCACGGAGGGCTTGGGACGAGACACCCTGGGGTGCTTGGTGGCCCGTGTCCCCGGTGCCCCGTGGTGCAGAAGCAAGGTCTCGGCCTTCCTGGGGTGAGGCTGATGGGAGCCGGGGCAGGCGCCTGAGGGCAAGGCCTGCTGCAGCTTCTACGGGAAGGGCCTGCCGGGCAACCGGACTGGACCTGGAGAGGGACTTCTGGACAGCCGGCCTAGCCTGCTACTCCAAGATGCGGGCTGGGGACGGCGCCGGGGCCTTTTCTACCGCCGAAGAGTCGCTGGTCACTGTCGCCGCTGCCATGGGGCTGGGCACGTAGTTGAAAGGTGGAACCCGCGCAGCGCGGCTGGGGGACCCATGCCGGCTAGCGGGAAAGCCCCCCACTGCCACGCCAAGGCCCTCGTGGGCGAAGGGGACAGCAGCAGGGCCCTTGGTGGGGCCAGGCCCGTCCACATCGCTGCCCAAACTGGGGGCGGTGCCCCCCGCTAGGGCCTGGGGCAGCTCCTGAGTCTCCAGGCTC